TTATCGATAAAAACTAGTGGCAATTACTCTACTTGTAATATTTTTTATGGTTGAACGCTTATTTTTGGCTATGAGACGAATCAACACATCATACCTACGGTCAACCATAGTCAAAGTCAGATTGACACGGTCCGCACTATCGTAAATTCAATGTACTCGTACACTGATAGTCTACGCGTCGCGTTGTTTTTCCTCAGCCACATAACGTGAGAGTGAAAAAATAAGTCACGATGGCTCAGTAAATTATTTACATAGTTTTAAATGTGTTTGGCCGTGGGTTGAAATCCGTACCTTAGGTTTATTTTTTTACTTATTTTTCTAATGTACATCAATGACACATCACGTCACAACTATGTAGATCAATGTCAAGATTTAATTTGGCTATATGCCTAATGTCTTTATGTGTTACACACATTAATTGATCCGGAAAATGTATGATCAGTGTTTATAAGCTAAAATTAAATAAAAATGAAATTTGTTTAAATAAAATTAATTAATTGTATTTATATTTTTTTTAAATAGTGTTTTGCTATTAAATGTAGTATTAAATGGGTATTCGGATAATTTAGAGTTTGATAGTCGAAAGTAAACTATTTTTTTGTCTTGTCTTCAGCTCCATAACGTAGGTAATATATATGGTTAAACACGACATATAACACTAATAATAACAATATTTTTGATAAATAGAATAATAATTCCGACTATAGTAGTTAGATCAATTATTAGAGATATCGAGTTTATATAGATATTGCGATTTCGTTTAGTTTAGTATAGGCGTTTGATCGTTTGAAACAACTATGTACATTTTTCTATAACTATTATTCCTAAATGTGTAAATGAGTCTGAAAATTACGGATGACATGAGTACCTAATACGAGTGACAGTAATACTATTTTAATTCATATTTCATAGTGATGAAAGTGATAATGGTAATCTCTAAGTACACCATTTTTGAAGTTTATTACTATTTCCGCAGATAAACTAAGATCTTCAGAACCAGTTTCAATGGATACTTCATTTTATGATATTTTTTAAATTGGTTTCTTTTGATTCAAAAAATATAATAACCAGTTGTGTTAAATATGAGCCAAAAAATGTCAACATCAAGGGATCTTAATGTTCATCGTTAAATTTTAAATCCCATTTAAAGAGAAAGCACGATTATTCGGATTTAGAATAATATGAAAAGAATATTATTGAAGTTTAAAAATGATAAAAAAAATAAATTTGACGTATCTTATATGGATATTATAAATTGTAAAAATAAAATAAAATAATTAAATATTGTCAAAATAAATTTGATGAAGACGTAACTAATTTCATTATTCATTATTCAATGGCACATTTAAGTATACTAATGAATCATTTTTTTCTAAGAAAATGTTTATCAATTTTGGAGTTCTTGAAAAGAACAGTTTAAATTTAATAAGTCATCGAAGTTTTAGGAGAAAAATTGAAATTCATTTTGATAAAAATAATGAGGGAGTAAAAAGGACTCTGGAAAAAGTAAAATATTTGTATTCATGATTTTAATGAATACAATTATTCAGAATAAAAATTATTCTTTATTTGTAAATAAACTAGTTGCTTATGCTTTTACTTTTTTAAATTTTTATTTATTTTTACCTAATTTTTGTAGACAGACAGTAACGAACGTGTGTATTTTTTATTTATACCATAACTCTGTAATCCGCACCGGCATTGTTGTTGATTGACTCGGTGTGATATTTGATACCCACCTTCTAGATCTTATGTACGTATTCATTGACAATTTGAATTAAATAAATAACATTAACCTATAGTTATAGTGTCTATTTTTTTTTTCAATTTTTTTCTAACAGTTTCCCATGGTTGTACGATTGCGTAACTCTATTTTACTTTTGTACGCATGTCCCTGAGGAATGAGGAGTATAGAACAGGGATATATCTACGTTAGTTATTTTCGCCAACGAGCAAGACACATGACGCAGGCACAATTTTTACGGATGTGCACATCAAGAAAGATGTTTGTTTTAGAATTGATATACCTCAGCTAGTATTAGCACTTTATACGTATACTAACTTTTATATAGTTATCCAATTGTTTTCACTGATCGATAGTCTCTCATAAGTCATTAAGTTATTATTTGCAATGTGTCCAAATCGTGTAAATATTAGCTTGCGTTTAATTCAACTGCAGCGTAGTATTGAGTTATTTTTTTGATTTTATTTAAGAATTAATTTAAACTTTGTTTTATGTTAACGAAGAAAATATATCAGGTAGATCAAAAAGTGCAACAAATGTTGATTCACTTTGCAATCGTGGTATAGTTATGTTGAAACACTATTAAATTCTTAGAACCGTAGTTATATCTCATAAATTATCAATAAGTTATTTGTTGATGGAGGTGAAGAAAGCAAATGTCTGTCCATAGAATTTTATAAGAAATAAAGTAAAGCAATAGAAAATCAAATTTATTCAACAGTTTTATGTAAGTGACGAAGAAAATCATTTACAATTTTGTGATTATAGACACTACATAAAATAGACCAGGTTCTATTAATTTCAGATAATTAATATTAAACGACGTATCTATTTTAAAAAATGGTTAATATTCTTTTACAAAATAATAAACTTATTTTTCTTTAGTTTGATTGATTTCAACTCAATTTTTAACAATTTTAAACGATTTTTAAAAATATGATAAATATAATGGCCATCTTAAAAATTACAAAATATTAAATTTCAAACATTTTTTGCAGTTAAGATTTTTGAATTTTTGAAAAACAAATTTTGAAACATGTTATTCATTTGGAGTTTTCTTATTATTATAAAATAATCTGTATCTAAATATATTGATTTGTCATGGAGACACTAAGGTGATACGGGACTTATGGGACACATACACCCTACGGGTTGATTTAAGCTCTTGTCGACCTGTATTACATTAAGTTAAAATTAATTTCTGTTAAATTGTATGCCAGTTGACCTTCTCAACATAAAATTAATAAATATTCTAATTAGCCCAAGGTTAATTCTGTATTAATTTATTTTATTTCATATATTTCCCTACAAAAGTCTTGCAGACTATGACTTTCACACCTTAGGTGTTTTGTGGATCTCAGGTTAGCAACCTATATGTGTTATACTAGGATTGTCAGCAATCATTAAGTCTTTACAAGACTGATTACAAAAACATGATGCACACATTTATTTTCATTGAATGTATAAACAAATCGTCTGTGAACAATTTTTTCAAAAAAAAATTCATAATAATTTTAAATAATTAAAAATGTATTTTTGTTTGAAAACATTATGAGTAGCATGCAATTTTAAATTTTGATTTAATATAAATATTTCTAAAGATCGGTAATACGCAAATTTTAACTAATACTAAAAACGATGACACGGTTTTATAACGGTTTTTAGCCATGCTTAATAACTGTATAGGACTTGGAGAAATCCCAAATTCTAGAACGTTCAAGTATCCAAATGGACGAAAGATAAGATGGCTAATGTGGATTTACACTGTTCAAAGCGTGTGCTGTACTGCTGTTGGTGTTGGCGAGCGTCTTGATGTGCGCGTTTATCGACGATTCATGTCACTGATAAAGTTTTAAAAGTTCAAAGACGTTCATTATTAAGTTTGTCGGCAATAAATAATGCTATCAGCGTGTGAGGCAACCGATAACATAGTCAATAAAGAAATCCACGGAACAATAGCGCTTTAACTTTACTTCCCGAAATACGCAGTGAACGCTATATTGAGAATCCAATTTTAATAATGTCGCAACCTTTAAGATTTATATCGCCACAAAAAAATATTGAGCTACTATTTTTCATTATTGTACATAAATTTCAAATGTGGAACTCTATAACACGTATGTCGTCTTCACCGATACTGTTCTACAATAACAATTCGCTTATACAACTATACTTAAGGGACGTTGCGTGATTATTTTTCAATTTTAAAAAAATAATAAAACTACTTAGGTATAAATAAGTACGGTAAAAAGAACCGAGAGAAACCATTCGTAGTGCGTTATTATGTGACTCCATTAAAATTAATGATGATAAAGTCCACGTATTAGACCGTTAAACGCATTTTACGATATATATCTGTAAAGTTATATATAGATTATCATAGCTATTATATTGGAATAACACCCAGAGATATTGAATTTGAGTAGGTTTTAAAATATCTATAGATAAATTAGACTAATTAAACAATAATCTTAATTTTAATCGTATGCATGCATCAAAAAGCATTTCAATTCAATAAGTATAAACTGTAGAGATCTAGAATTTTGAACATTTTGAGGCATTACAATTTTAGATTTTCTTTAGTATTTTTCGATTTTTGTTAATAAGTTATCATGAACGCCAAAAGCACTATTTTTATATTGCCATTTGAAATTATAATTTTGAGGAAATCGAATATTTTAACCAAAAATGAGTAATGATTTTAATTATTTTGTTGTGATTCAAAAATCTTAATTTATTATAACTTACTGTATTACTGATATTAATGTAAATAAATTATAAAGTATTCTTAATAACTGAAACTGAAATTTCGGCTAGAATACGATTTCATTGAATTTAAATTTGACATACTTATTACAGTGACCTACTCAATGACAAAGTACATTCAAAACCTACTAAACAGCGAGACTTATTTTTTATAAATAAAGCACACATCTAAGTGATGGATCAAATAGATTCAAAAATATGTATAACCAGGTTTATTTATCTCAGTTATAAAAAGTTATGATAATATTATGTTATTGAAAAATAATTCATGTTATATTAATTACATACACACTCATTATTGTAATACGAATATTAGGTTTTTAATAATGTTTCATTGAGTACGCATTTACAATGTTACTCTTTTGCTGCAGAGTATATAGGCGTATAGTGCACCTATAATATTTTAATATTTAGCTAAAAGCTAAATAAAAGTGTGTCACAATAGTATAATGTGTATTGAGTAACGCGTATAATATTATAAAATATTTACCAAAGAAAAAATGGCAACCAACACAACAGGAATACGCCCATGATGATCCCCAGCGTGCGAGCAGCTTTGTGCTCGGTCCTCCAACTTGTACTCGTGGTCTTTGTCACCGCAGGAACTGAAAAATAAAATATCATTTAAATAGTTTTTTAATCTCACGTGAAATAATATGTGGATAATAATACAAATTTGCATACTCCAAATATCATCGGAAAACCTCGCAATGTATGTATTTTATGAGGTAATTAAATATTGTTTACACACGTGCAAACTTTACGAATATAGTATTATTATACATTCCAAACCACCGCCGTGGTCGATTTGAAATTCATTCTAAGTGTTTGATACAAAATATCTCATATTATAGTTTTTAATCCGGATCTCATGTGATATATCGTAGCGCGTCTGTGTGGTGTACCAGTGCAAGTTTATATTTATGGATACATCGAGATGTCAAAATCAGCTCGTATAGAAGTTAAGGAAACTATCATTAAAGTTATCTCGAGGGAGAATATTTGATAATTATAGTGTACCGCTTAAATCACAACGGTAGCACCAGTTAATTAGTCTAAAATTCTGATAGTAAAATATAATGTATCAAACATTGAAATATCAATTAAGTTTGTGTGCATTTTATTCCACTGCGCTGACGGTGGATAATGATCAGCAGTAACCTCCAAATTTATATATAAATATTTTAATTTCAATAAATCTGATTTAATATATGAATAAAATTAGCTTCTTTACAAAAAATATTTGATAATTAGAAAAACTACGAAAAAAGTTTTAGACAAACCAGTTATTTTTAACTTGTGCCACGAAAGTTCTGAAATAGTGTAAATAAAAAAATATGAATGGATTAAAATTGATCGACTTGTTAGACATCTATCTGTTTCTTTTTTTTGATAATTGGATATTTTTTTAGAAGGTACACTTAAATCTTAAATTTCAATTTTTATGTACAATACAGTATTACTGTTATTCGGTTTTATTTACTTAAAATCAGTTTCTTTAAAATTTTTTCTTAGACCAGCTATTGTATCAATTACAAGGATGAGCTCAACTAGAAAAAACCAACTTGTTATAGAAACGTTTCAAATAATGTTTTTTAGAAGTTGGCATCGGCAGGAAGCTCGGTTTAGACACTGACATTGATACATGGTATGACACAAGTTTCTTTTCGAATGGAGTGTATGAATTTAACCTACTCAGACACTTTTCTTTTAATTTATTAAATCAATGTCCTAGGTCTTAGCAAGAAAGCAGTTTCTATTCTAAAAGTCCGCTACAATTTTCATTAAAAAAAAAAAAAAGAATGTAAATAAACGCAGCTGCGTCCTTTAAACAACTTGCTGTACTGAAGATAAACCTAAAAAACCCTTTTCTAATTCACGTTTAAATTAATTTTGTGATTTAATTAAAATTTACTGGTCTCATAAGTAATTCGTCTGCGGCGTAAGTACAAAGCTCTGCTAAAATTTTAGCCGGCCTTCCGTTTGTGGGATTACAATATTTTAGTATATTGTAAAACATAATAATATAATATTTCGATGTAACAAGTGGCGTGATTGTGTGTGTATGTCAGCCACGATTGAGATTATGGCGAGACCAATAGCTTATTTACATTTCTCGCGTGGTTTGAAACATTGCGCGTTCTTGATTATTTTTAACGAGTGCACCCAAATGTGTCACAAAGATGATCTATGTTTATCTTTTGATGATAAATAAACAATTATTTGATTCGGTCGAAAGACAACATGACAAGTGAAACCCACCGATGTTAAAATTATAGAGCGTTTCAAAAATGTATTCTTTGCCATACCGTTCAAATATCACTACAACTTACACTAAAACGACAAGTACATTTTAAATATGTATACTTATATAAAACATTTTTTCACAAATGACCATGTTTAATATGTTGACCTTTATTTTTAACTTAAGTTTTTAGATTTTTTTTGAATGTCCTTAAATAAATTTACTAACGGCTTATACTAGTTTACACTTAATGTTTTTATTATTGTTGTTATTATTTAAATACAAAAATAAAACACTGAAATAGATTAAATTTTATTTAAATTTTTTCTAAAACTATCATAGTTTTTGTCAACACAAAATTGATAAAATTGATGCATTTTTAATATTTAGTGTTTGGTGTAATAAATAGAAACATAAAACAAAGATGATGTCGTGTGTACAATTTTTATCATAAAAGTAATAAAAACACATTACCTATTATTTTTTATTTTTTCGTTTTTTTTTATATATATATTCCAATTTAAATAGTTATACAATTATTTAAATTTGATTTACGTTAATATTTTTATTTTTGAATTATATAGATTTTTTAAAATAAATTTGCATTCATAACGATGTTTTCGTGGTATTGTTATTATTGTTTATTCAAATATAAAATGAAAATAGTTTAAATTTTTTGTATACGTGTCGATGAGTAAAAAAAAAAATGTAATTTAAAAAAACAATGAAAAAAAAATGATCGAATTTAGACATTACTATGTTAGTAATTATTTTGAAACTATTTCAAGTTTTAATAAATATGTATTATTTTTATTAATTGCATAATAATATGCGTAATAATTTATAGAAAAAATTAAGTCAACAATTCATAGTTTATAATCTTGATATATTAATTATAAAATATAATTCAATGCAATTGGTTATTTTTCGAAGAAAAGTGTATATTGTTGGTATGAGTTAAATAGAAAAACAAATGAATAAATAGACTAATTTGTTTATATATAGTACTATTGTAGAATTATTATTTATTATTAGTCTTTAAGTTTTAAATAGATATCGAGAAGGCACTAATTGCTATATTTTTTTTGTTATCAGTACAAATTTTCTTATAAAAAGATTGACGACAAAAAAATATGCCGACACTAGAACTGCAAGCACTATTAGTTGCATATATTATGTAAAAAACTTTAACTATTGCCATTGCAGATAGAACCATAAGTCACCGAGTGCTATCGGTGTATTATAGCTTATAAATTTACAACACTAGATTCGATTCAATAACGCAACATTGACACCTATCTATAAGCGGTAAATATTCGTATTTTTATCTCTGCAGAACATCTTTTAATTTGGTGTGATGATGAAAATAGTGTTCTGCTTTTATTTAGATTATATTCTACCTTTTGTGATAAATCTTGCCGACTATATAGCTTAATTGTGTAGGTACTAGCGGCGGCGGTGCAATTTAATATATTTTTAAAATGATTTCCTCCTTCCTAGTTCCTCCTCCCTTTCGCTCCATTGCCTGTTTTCATTTTATAATGTGGGTTCTTACACAAAATTCAATGTTATAATTTAAGTGTATAATTGTATATATACTTAAGAATATATATATATTTTTAGGTCAAATTCCAGGTAGACTACGACCAACCGTAGTTGTATTGTGGTGCATTCAAAACTCTGACCCATCTATTTAACGTATACCTATTATGTATTCTTTCTCGGGATCGATTTGGATGCCACAATGAAGCGTCCAGATTAAAATTAAGGATATTATTAAGCTTGATGAATCTGAGAATGAGTCCTGCAGACCAACAAAATAGATAATCATGTATAGTGTTTACATGCATGGGCGCCCATAGGTAATATTTTAGGGGGGGGGGTCAAAATAAAAAAATTTTCGAAAGTAAGATAATAAAGATTTAATGTTATTTTTCACATATAAATGTATACACTATACATGCATGTTATATTTTTATTTGTATATATATATATAGTGTATTAATATAATAATTGCCATACGAATAAATAAATAAATATATAATAATTGTCATATGAATAAATAAATAAATAAATAATAATTTTAATAAGTATATAAAAAAATAGAAATTAAATATTATAATTAAGTATATTATTCGGTATCAGTAAATAAGAACTGTAAATTTCTTCGTTTTATTCCAAACATATTAATGACATCCTGAATGAAAGTATCCTTGTTTGCGTTAGGTTAAAATATTTGTAGTACCTATATTGTGATCTTTATAGATTTACCACAAATTATCTGCGATAAATTATTTTACGTATAGGTTATACAGACTACAGAATACGACCTAACTATGATGTTAATATACGATAAAAATGAGTATATTTTTATATTTATTTCATATCTTAAAAGTGATTTCAACAAATAATTTGCCTCGGTAATAAGGTAATATTGTGGTAATATTTTTTCCAGGGGGGGGGCAAGTGCCCTGTCTTGCCCCCCCCCCAATGGGCGCCCATGTTTACATGTTATTGATATGAATTTGAATTGTAATTATACTCTAGTGTTAATAATTATTATACTAAAACTATGTATACTAATCGACAGCTAATGCGATTAGTCGTTTATCGCGTAACACCGTGCCGTGACATTATATTATATAAACCACTAATTTCCAATGTAATCTATTAATATTTGAATTCATATGACATTTTACAAGTTAAAATTGATTAATATTGAAGAGTTATTTTTTCAATGGCAATAGTGTAATTTCATGGTAAAAAATAAAAATATGTTTTTATTTAATTAATTAACAAAAAAAAATAATAAATAATAATTATAATAGAGGATAATAATAATTTATTGATTATACATTTTATTGCAAGCATAAATAATTTTAAAGGTATACAACTATTTAATCGTTTGAGACAAACACATTTTCCATAAAAATACTATTCATTAAATAATTTTTCAAGTATAATTATTCTACATATTATATTCTAGTCATATTGTTGTTCATTTATTTATCATGATCAAATTATCTGAGATTTAAGTCACCAAAAATTGTTCTGGATAGTTTATCTATTCTTATAAAATGAATAAGTTTAATAGGTAAAGTTTTTATTTTTATTCAATATTAAATTCTGAACGAGCATTCGATTTTGGGAAATAATATACATATTTATAAATATATACATATTTTTTAAAATTAGTTATGTTTTTCGTTAATGCTTAAAAATAAATAACCAAAATATTTTTATAAAATACTAATTTTGAAAAATATATTTATGTTATCGATTTTTAAATAGGTCTGCTGTTATTAATCTATTTATAGACATATCAATTTTCATCTTTTTTTAGTTTTTTTAATTTATATT